ATAAATTGAATAGAAAAATATGGGACAAACCCTCAGTAGATTAAAAGCATCTACCACTGCATTGAAGGACTGTCACTGGCTCGCACTGCTACATGGAAAGAAACTGATATATGTAGAAGGAATATCCATGTATTGCCCTTGAATTCGAAGCTTTGTTGCTTTGGTCAGCTGTTGTGCATATATTTAATAATAACATACCTTAATCTTTAACACAACTGCATGTATTTCACAGAGCTGAAAAGATGAGAATACTGCAAACAATCATTGTCCTCTCCTGTATCATCTGGGAATGTACAGGACATATACAGGAGATGACACTTATGATGGGATAGTGCACTCAAGGGGGAATTTAATATTCCTGTAGCAGAGAGATCAAGGCGTGCTGCACTTGTGAGGATGGCCAGGCAATTACATTCAACGGAAAACTGGTAGCTAGGAGGTCAACTATCGCTGCAGTTGTGAACAAGGCTCTTGGATGAAACTGAGGTTTCCGGTGCAAGAAAACTGAACATACACCTTAGAGAAGAATACTCTGGAATCAGTCGAGCCAGTATTCAAGACACACTGGACAGATCAAGTCAAAGCAGTTCAAGTTCGTCACCAGATAGACCTGCTGGACACGGGGAAACGGCGAGTCAAGCAAAATTGCTCAATGTTGCACTTTAAAAATCATTTTAGCTGTTTGTAATTGTGATTGTTTAAAGACTACAGAAGCGTGTGCCTTATCGATTTCCTTGTTTTGCTTTTAAATTGTCCTATAAAATGAGTAAATTGCTTTAATGGGTAACTAGGTGAGTAATACTCTCTGGGCAATTGAGGTTAAGAGTCAAAAGTCCATCAGTGCAATCACTAAACTTTTTTTTTAAGAGTACATTTTTCACGTGTCATTAAATATTTTCACCTGCCAAGCTTCACAGTAAGTTCAAACCCTTTTCCAAAATACCAGGAATATATCTCTGAATATGTTTTCTTTTTTTTTCTTTTATTCTTGTCTTTTTCATCCTTGAAACATATACCAAGAAATTTGCATGCAAATAAAATAGCTCCTGACCGAGGAACCAAAACATTCTCGGGACCATAAATCCACAATATGACTTCAGTGTCTCTAAAGCCCATATCAATAATAACAAGCTAATAAAGTTGAGTGTCTGTGATCATATTGCCCACATCACATGCTTCCAGAGACACACCCTGCTGGGACTGTTTAAAACTGCTCCTTTTCCTGCCGTGATCCATTTCAACGGACTGACCTGAGCGGTGAACCCTCCTCTCCATGATGATTCTGCAGGTAAAACACAATGTACTGAGAGAAAACACAGTGAAATCTAAACTACATCGTTCTCTTTTTTTTGATAATAACCAACTATTTCTCTTGATAGTGTGAAGGTAATGCAACACTTAACTTTGTCTTATAAATGCTTGTGCTCTAATGATAATTAGCTTTTATCATGTGCATGTTATTTAAGAACACAATGTGTTTTTCACTGATCAGCATCAGTCTCAGTGATGCTGTTGTTTGAGTGATCGTCGTGGTAGAAGTTGTCCTGTGTATTAGAGCAGCTGCTTATCAACTATAGTCAAAAACCTGCAACCTGTTGAAAATAAAACAAAAACTGAGAACACAGCTTTTCTGTTTCGTCGTAAAACTCACAACATGTGTTCAGTTTTACTCTCTAAATGCTAAATGCAAGCCTGAAAGCAGATCTAAGCTATTTAGGCATTTTCAGTTTGCCTTTGTAACTTCAATTAATAAATAAAAATATCAAATGAAGTCATCGCAACTGAACTAAAACATGTCGTAATTAATTTATTTCTGCTGTTGACTCCATAGTGTCATTAGGTATTGTTAGCTACATATTAACATGCACTCCTAGTTCCACTGAGTCCGTATCATCTGTTTCCAGACTTCAGACCTGTGAACTCGCTGTAAACAAACAGCAACAGTGAATTTCAATCAAATTCTCTGACACATACAAAGACTGTATATTTTGGAGTTTAAGCGCATTTCGTTTACCCGAGCCTGATTAAACACGCGGTGCTCCGGGGAAGTTAGACTATTAATAATCCCAACACCGCTGAAAGGCAAACATCCAGTGGGATGTGTTCATCCTGCAGGGAAAACCCAAACGTTGCAACTGTTGTCGGCATCCTGTGATGCAAATGGGTAGTTTTTACTGATTATGCTTTAAGCTACAACCTGGTAACACAGTTGCATTCGCACAATGAAATTTTAAAAATAGAAATCAAAGTGGTGAAAAGTAAAGCAGTGGGAGCTAAGTTGGTGGAAGAGCATGCAAAGCTGGCGTGGGCAGACTGATACCAAAACCACTGATTCCGTTCAAGCCCTGCTGTATCAACACTCAGTAGGATCAGTACACATAAAAATGAATGTGTCTCATGTTTGATTACATTCTGGGCACATAAACAATCAATTTAGTGCATGCCATTTCACTCGAACCACAATTATTCAGAGTGGTATCTATCTGCACAGACACCAGTTGGGGAAATAGGGAAATAAACATTTGCATATCACAGAAAGTTTGAGATATCCACTGCTGAATACTTGTGCCATCCAAAGAAATAGGAATTGGGGAGAAGAAAAAAAAAAAAGTTCCACTCAACTTCCTCAGCTACTTGTGTTGTTTTGTGACAGCAGAAATGTTTTGTCCCATAATCTCAGCAAAAAGCAAAAAAAATGTATGCATATATCTGCATGGCCAGACCAGAAAAGTAGAATGAAGAGAGAAAAATGTACACTTTAACTCACTTGTTGTCTTGTTATCTGACAAAAATGTAGAAAATCACAGAGGATGATACCCAGTAGATGTTATGATCTCTTTCTTTTAAATCAGAACACATTACTGGTCGCTCTGCTGGTTCTTGCGGCCGCCGTCGACTCCAACTCACACTTTCTGCTGCCCATCGACTGTGACGACATCTACTGCCATGACAACAGCAGCTCCAGTGGCGTTTACACCATCTACCCAGGAGGCCCGACCACGCCCCTGCACGTCTACTGCGACATGGACACCGACGGCGGGAGATGGACTGTCAGTGCAAAATGTTTTATCTCAGTAGTTTTCTTGAATCACAATTATTGATTTTGGAGCTCTTGTCATTCTGCACAATGACTTTGGGATCATTGAGACACCTTCCATCCATCACTTCTCCATCAGTATTGCATGATGGATGAGAATCCAAACATCTACTTCCAAGGTTTAGTCTTCATGCTAAGCTAAGCCAATCATCGAATTCATGGTTTGGTATGTGCAACATAGGCCTTACTAAATATTACTGATTGTAGATGTGAACCGGTGATAATCATCATACCTGGTTAAACCTCAAGGACGTCACTAAAAAGTTGACTTCTAATGTCATGTAACATCCTGTTAGATGAATCCATAGTATTGCACGTCATTAACCTCTTGAACCTGTCTCTCTGCCTCTCAGGTGTTTCACAGGAGGCTCGACGGGACTGAAAACTTCTACAGACCCTGGAAACACTATAAGACTGGGTTTGGGAATGTAGCAGGAGAATATTGGCTTGGTGAGTTCAGAAGGGAATAATACATCAAAAACATGGTGCCTGTGCTGCTTGTTGTCTTAATATCTTAAAGTGAGATAAAATGATGGGGACTATATTTTCAGACCACCAAATCAAGCGATCATTGAAGTTAAGAACAGAAAAGGGCTTGTTGCAGGCTATAAAATGAAACTGTTTGTCTTTTTCAGGCCTGGAGAATATCCACCTGCTGACTATAAGGAAGGACAACGAGCTACGGGTCGACATGGGGGACTGGGCGGGAAGCCGAGCCTCATCTCAGCACTCGTCCTTCTCCGTCGACACCGAGTACACCGGCTACCAGCTTCACGTGGGCAGGTTCACGGGCGGGGAAGCAGGTGAGGGTCACTGTGTGGGTCTTAATTTGGGGAGATAAATGTGATGCCAAAAGTGAGAATCGTCTAATAAATGATCTTTTTGGAACTTCTCAGTGAGCCATGGTAATATTAAAATAGGTCTTTAAATCATTTTTGCTCAGTTAAATCTTGTCACACTATGTCAAGGCTGAATGCAATAATGTGAACTAACAGGAGAAAAACATTTTTCTGATTTCTTTCCGTGGAAAAGGATTCTTTTTCCTTCATTTTTAAATGCAGATGTAGAGTAAACAGCCACTAAAGAGCCGTATGAATAGTTACAGGGATGATGGGAGAGTTTATCAAAACAACAACAACTGACTAAATAGTACAGTCGCCCACTAACTTTGAATATAAGGAAACAGATATTATAGCCACCAAGTGAGCAAGCTGTCAAACTAACTGATTAAAATAGAGTCTCGATACAAAGACAAGATTCTTTTTCTAACCAACGAGTGCCTGTACTATGCATGCTGTACATAAAAAATCTAAACTTTTACAAGAAAGACTGAAATAAAACAGGAATCCAGTTTTAAAAAGTAAAAAAATACCATCAGCTGATCGCTCATAAAAGTGAGACTGTTCTCCAGTCTGATGACTTTTACACAATGTCTACAAATGTTAAAAGTTTTGCAAAAATGGACGGATGGTCTCCTTTTCAAAAATGTTTCGTTCTTTTATATGACCGGCCAATACTTTTCAAACAATGCAACATCAATACAGATGACTGACCGTCTTTCCCGGCACTAAGCAGCAACACTGACTGTGTTAGCAGCATGTGGAGGGAGCAAAAGAACAGAATGAAAGATCCTGTCCAAATCTGAGCAGATCTAAATGGACGACTGTACAACAAGCATCTTGTCTTCATGGTTATTTTTTGTATTATGATAATATCCAACTCACCATTTTCATAGTTGACATGTGCTCATGCATTGTACCATAAATCCACACTTTGGGGTAGACTAAATGTTTACTTGTACATCCAGGTTTTTATCAAGGCATAAAAAGTACCTAAAATAATCCATTATAAATACGGTAACACACATTGTGTGAATACTATTTTTTTTTGTTGAAACTCAGCTCACATTGTTCTCGTCTGCATTTCTAGGGAACGGTTTGTTGTATCACAACTCCATGAAGTTCACGACCTACGACAAAGACCAGGACACGTGGAGTGAAAACTGCGCTCACACGTATCTCGGGGGATTCTGGTACAAAATGTGTTACTTTTCCAACCCCACCGGCATGTATGCACCTCCAGGTGCCATCAAATACCCACAAGCTCATGTGGTTTGGCGCTCGTGGAGGGGCGACAACTACTCCCTGAAGACTATTGACATGAAGATCAGATCAGTCGTTAAGTGTTCATGCACAAATTAACCTGATTAGCTGAAGCTTGGGACGTGGGGGAAACCATCTCTAGCATCTGTGTTCCTCCTACTGAATGTTCCTACCAACAATGTGCACAGCAAAATAACAGAATGTGTTTATTTTCCTTTTTCTTACTAATTTCTTGTTTTAAAAATAGAACCAGCAAGAATATTTTAGGTCTCCATGCAAACTGCTTCTTTTATTCATGTAACCTGATGTTTTGTTTTGTTTTTTTCTTTATTCTGTCTCTTTTTTTGTCATATTTTGTAAAACATTTTGTAGTCCTAACTATTATTTAAATTACCTTTATTGTTTCAATTTAGTAATAGTGTTATAAGTAGTCATAACTGTTGTTGTCGTAGTTATAACTACAGCTTTTGGTTGATTTTCTCTAAAGACACAAGTGCCGAATTAAAAGTATTGAAACCATTTAGTGTGTCATTCTGGAGGAGGAAGACTGGATTTGTTTATCGTGTCATCTAAGGATAAATAAAAAGAAATAAACTGTTAAAGTTCACTGTCGTCCATGCTTTGAAATAAAATGCTAACGCCAGCGTGCTAAAATGCTCCCAGTGCTAACATGTTGATTACTAGCAGGTGTAATGTTTACTCTGTTTACCATCTTGATTTAAATTAGCTCAGACTAAACTTTAGATTAGTTTAGATTCAACATTATTGTCACAGAGTACAAATACAAAGACAACAAAATGCAGTAGCATCTTAGCATAGCATCATAACATTTGCTAATTACCGCAAAGCAGAATGTCAGTTTTGCAGGAATTTGGTCTCGAATCAAAGTGTTACACAAAATCTGACCTGAGAATGGCGCTATAGATGAGAAGAAGTTCTGTAATCGGAAAAAGTCATTGGGAAGTATGTACAGTATGTGTGAGATTAATTTAATTTTTTTAATCTGTTCAGTAGTGGTTGTGAAATGACACTCAAAACCACAAATATTAACCGGCTGGTGGTGTGAGATGAAAGGTCAGGCTGTCACTGAAGTCACCATTTTGAGATATTCCACATCATTGGGAAAACTTTGACTTTGTGGAGATGTTGCATTAATGATTGACTATAAAATGTGACACAAGCTCCATGTTTGTCAGAAATCATGAAAGCAGTAGACTGAACGTTGAAGGCACTGTGAGACATTTAGAGTGAAGACAGACTGTCTCTCAGGTATTCATGTCAATAACTGACAGGCTGCATGTTCACCAGACACACGGGGTCACTCTTGTGCTGCAGAACCTCATTAGGATCTGCTCTGTCCAAAATGCATGATTGACGGTAGGATAGGTTGTGAACTCCCATCACTCACACCTCTCAGACGTCTGCATCGCCCGTTGTGTGTAGAGACGAGTCAACAGACAGGACGATGTCATTTAACACATGCAGCTAGAAGCCAAGTGTGGTGTTGCTGGATGAACAGGAAGACATATGTTTACTGCTGGAACTACAGTTCATGCTACAGATCAGTGTAATTTACATCAAGTGTCCTACAAATATCAAACATTACATTACAATGAAGTTACCGGTTCAGCATCTAGAAAGAAAGTGGTCCATTTGTAAAGCTGCATCTGTGCAACATGAGCCAAAATGACTTTTTACATGAGGTTACACTGGTATTCACTGGGGGCTGCAAGGTGGTGCAGTTGGTAGCACCGTTGCCTCGCAGCAAGAAGGTCCCCGGTTCATGTCCCAGGTAGGACTCCGGGATCTTTCTGCGTGGAGTTTGCATGTTCTCCCCGTGCAGCGTGGGTTCTCTCCAGGTTCTCCAGCTTCCTCCCACACAATCCAAAAACATGCTGAGGTTAACTGGTGATTCTAAATTGTCCATAGTGCTTGGTTGTCTGTCTCTAAGTGTAGCCCTGTGACAGACTGGCGACCTGTCCAGGATGTCCTCTGCCTTCGATCCTAGTGAGGATTAGGCGGTGTATAGATAATGGATGGATGGAAGACACACTGAGATTTCAGACACAAGACACCCAAATGCTGAACCGTCTAAATAGTCCTGACACTGATCAGGTAACACCCGGCACTGATCCACCTCAATCCAGCACTGCTGTCTTCTTCCACTAATCAGGGTCAACCGCTTTACTACATCACCAAAAGATATGTGTCTGGGACGTTGGAGGAATCAAACCAAACAAATCTCATTGCTATCTGGGCCCCAAACCATGAATATAAATTGACAGAATATCTCTTTACTGTCAGAGATGCAAAGCAGAGACAGATCCTGCTCACAGCCTACAGACAGAGAGGCTGATACAAGAAGCCATGGCTGCTGACAGAGGAAAGACCAGGAGAGGTAGAGACACATGAAATTCCTCTTAAAACATGACAAAACCAGCAGTATAAGACAGACTTTTAATAGTCCAACTGTTTAAGCCCAATTGTCACACAACTAGCCGGCAATGAAAAGCAATTGATTCTGTCAGGAACCACGAACTCAGCTGCACAATATGTGACTGCATGTCACAAGCTGAAGGACACGTAATTAAAACATCACTGAATAGGACAATTATCTTGACACAGCCAATTATACATATGGCACACACATTTACTGCCCTTTACCATTCGCTTGTTCTTTTTACCCTCCCTTTCATTTTCTATTTTACTTAATAGGTCGTATTTTATTTTCGGTTTAGTGTCTTCACCTCATTTTTTAAATGACATCGTCCTTAATGCTTTGCCAATATTGTTCCGTTGGCTCTTAGCTCTTCCTGAAGCTGCTCTTGTCATGTCTGATGCTTTTGGAGTCCATACAGCTTTCTTCACATGTGTTATTTATTGTTATTTCCTTCATCTCCCCAGGATAATAATAATTAATAATACTGTATAATCTTAGCCTTAATATTTAAATTATTTCTGTTATCTTACATAGTTAATACCACTGTATGGTCTTTGCATGAATATTTAAATTAGTCAGGTTAATTGACGTAATTAATAATACTGTGGGGACTTAGCCTTATATTTAAATTATTTATGTTCATCTACATAATTAATAATTGTGTACGGTCCTCGCATTAATATTAAAAATGATCAGGTTAATCACTATAATTAATTATGCTGTAGGAACTTAGCCTTATTTTTTATATTGGTGAGATTATTTTTCTTTAGTAAATAATACTGTTTGGGTTTTAGCCTTAATATTTCAAATATTTATGTTAATCTACACAATTAAAATCACTGTATGGTCTCAGCCTTCATATTTAAATTTGTCAGGTTAATCTACCTAATTAATAATACTGTAGGGTCCCAGCTTTAATATTTACATCTTAATATTAGTCAGGGTAATTTCCATAACATACATCCATCCATTATCTATACACCGCTTAATCCTCATTAGGGTCCTGGGGGGCTGGAGTCTATCCCAGCTTACTTAGGGTGAAGGCAGGGGACACCCTGGACAGGTCACCAGTCTATCACAGGGCTACACTTAGAGTCAGACAACCAAGAACACTCACATTCACACCTACGGACAATTTAGAATCACCAATTAACCTCAACATGTTTTTGGACTGTGTGGGAGGAAGCCAGAGAACCCGGAGAGAACCCACGATGCACAAGGAGAACATGGAGACTCCAGATCCCGGTGCCCCCACCGGGACGCGACCCAGTGCTACCAACTGCACCACCTTGCAGCCAAGTTACACAATGTCTATTACTATATGGGTTTAGCCTCAATATTTAAAATATGTATGTTAATCTACATAATTAATAATAGTGTGTGGTCTTAGCCTTAATATTTGAATTTTAAGATTATTCAGGTCAATTGCCTTAATTAATAATATTGTAGGGTCTTTGTCATAATATTTAAATTTTAATATTAGTCAGGATAATCGCTAACTCTATATGGTTTTAGGCTTAATTTTCAAAATATGTATGTTAATCTCCATATTTAATAACACTGTAGGGTCTTAGTCTTAATATTTAAATCACTTATATTAATATACATAAATATTTAAACTGTAGAACTTGATTTTTATAATAGTCAGGTTCATCTCTTTAATAATAATACTGTAGGGTCATAGCCTTAACACTTAAATTACTCATGATAATCCCTATAATTAATTATTCTGTAGGGTTTTAACACTATTATTTAAATTAGTTGGGATGATCTCCATCAATAACAATTTTAGCCTTAAATTTTATGATAATCTGGCAACGTTGTATTTTAGTTGAATTGTTTATATATGAATTTTCACCATAAACAAGACTGTAGGAGGAGTTAGACTTGTTAGGTTGATTCATAATCTTATTTATCTCTGTAGCCTCTAAATGACAGAGTTGACTTGACATCCAGGCCTGAATAAGTAAGTAGTAACTGAAATATAATAATAATAATAATCTACATTATAATAGAGCGGCTATTTAAGCTCCATGTGCTCCACAGTTCATTATATTCTGTGCTGCGATGTTCTCAACGTTCCATCATCGGTGTGTGACTGGCAGACTGTGTTTATTCCAAGGATCAGCTCTTGAGTTGCGCCTTTCAGGAACATTTATGATGAAAATAACCTCCAGCTGCTTCTTTAAGATAAAACCAACAGACAGTGCTGGGAGGTGTTCACAGCCTGCTGCTCGCCCTCAATCTCTCTCTGTGAGTTGTTTCAGGGAAGAAAAAAAAAACCTTCCTGAACATTTCTCTCTCTCTCTCTCTCTCTCTCCCTCTCTC